GCAGGGAAAATGGATCTTTGTGAGAACCTTTCAAGACAGTTTACTGTGGGCTCAGACTGGCAGCAGCCAGAAGACTCCTCCACAGGGTGCAAAATGGGTAGGGTGGGGCCGTAGCCATAGGGAATCTAGAGGTTGGAGCTAGTGCATCCCCCCAGGCTGATGTTGTATGGAAGGGCATGTTTTACCCAGGAGAGATGGCACCTGTGGGCAGTATAAGACTCAGCACAGGGACAATGATGGCTGTCCCTCTACCTCTATCCTTGAAGCCACACAACCCAATTTCTCCCTGTATAACTCCATTCCACTTTGAGGCACCTTCCTTCTACCAGCGGCCAGGGTGAGTGGCTGCAAATGAGATTTTGTACGGTGGCCCTTTAAGAGGGCACCTGGGTTTCTAGTAGATTTCCATCTCTCTCTGACACACAGAAAGAATTCCTGCTGATTTCCACATCCAGATATTATATGGGCAGGTCTTCCAAGCTCCAGAGCTCTGCACTGGGGACCTCTAGGTGAGGATTTGATGCCCCACTCCACAGGTGGAATCTTTGCAGCTGAGATTTCCTCCAGATTCTCAAATGCTGCACTAGCCTTTTCTGGCTAGTAGTTGTGAGACTGGTCTTTTCCAGTCTCTCTCTGCCTCTCTTACCAATCTTGATGTGGGTTTTTCTGTAAAATCTTGGTTCTAAGACTTGAGTTCAGGTAGTCGTTAGCTGGTAATTTGCATTGATTGTTCTGTGATTTTTTTGTAATTCTGGTTTGGTCCCGGGAGGAGGTGAGTATGATTTCCATCTACTCCGCTGCCTTGTTGGATCTTCTATTGTTGTTGTTCCTATTTAAGGTACCTCTCACCGTCACCAAGAAAGAGTGTATATAGTCAGCAGAATATGCAGATAAAGTTAAGTTTTGTAATATTTCATTTATTGAACATTTGAAGGTTAAGTCATTTCAATTCTATAAGCACAGACTGAGAAGTAGTAACAGATATATAACTTACATAAATAAAAGTGTTTGTTTGGTAAAGATCAGAATCATAATTCTTAAATTATCTCACCACTCCTTTCATTAAGCTGTCTGCATTCACACATTTATACAAATACTTTATGCCAGTTAACTATATTAAACTCTCAAGGATGTTGTGTTGTGAGTCTATTGAAGTAATAGAAGGTGTCCCTTACTAAAAATAACAAAACTTGCCCTGGCTGGTGTAGCTCAGTGGATTGAGTGCTGGCCTGTGAACCAAAGGCTCAATTCCCAGTCAGGGCACATGCCTGGGTTGCGGGCCAGGTCCCCAGTAGGGGGTGTGTGAGAGGCAGCCACACACTGATGTTTCTCTCCCTCTTTCTCCCTCCCTTCCCCTCTGTGTAAGGATGGATACATAAAATCTTTTAAAAATAAAATATTTTTTAAAATAACAAAATGTGTTAACAAGTTATAGCTTTATTATTCACTCAGCTTTCTTTCAAATATGAAGAACTGTGAGTAATTTGAGGTATTACTCTGCTTTAAAGCTGTGAAGTTAACCTGGCACAGTTTTATAGATGCTGACAAAAGACATGAGACTCCTGGGTCATAGACAAAGCACTTTATTACTCATGACAAAGCAGGAAGCATCAGCTTTATTTTTAAAAAAGATTTTATTTACTTATTTTTAGACAGAGGGGACGAGAGGGAGAAACAGAGTGAGAGAAACATCAATGTGTGGTTGCCTCTCATATGCCCCCTACTGGGGACTTGGCCTGCAACCCAAGTGTGTGCCCTGACTGGGAATTGAACCGGTGAGTGACCCTTTGGTTTGTAGCCCGTGCTCAATCCACTGAGTCACATCAGCCAGGGCAGCATAAGTTTTATATTCACATTTTATATTCAAGTCACACAGTATTGATACAAATTGCAACAGATAGATATTATGCATGAAGTGGGGTTGGGTCATAATTGAGGAAGCTTGAGTTTAGGAAACTCCTAATCTTACAAGAAGGTTGGTTTGAAACTTGTCTGAAGTTTGCCTTTGAGGGAAACATTATGTTTATTACCCTAGTTAAGAATTAAATATAATATATCTTCTGCTTTGGAGGGAGACACTGTCTCTAATGTCCAAGATTTTTTTGCGGTACAAACATCTGTGAAAATTTATGAACAAAAGCTATCAGTGCCTCTTCATGAGACATAGAATCAGGGCAAATTTCCTCTTTAAAAATCCATTAACATAAGCTATATTTTATCTTAGAAAAGTTTGGTATTTACAGGTTTAAACCAAAGCTAAGTTAATGAATTATAGACATCATCACACACACCTCTAGTCTTAACCCCTTTATTTCTATTGACTGAGTCAGGTCAGAAAGTTTCTATGTAAAGCAAGTGGTATTAGACACTAAATATGCACATGGAAAGTATGAATGGAGTCAAATACTGTTTGATAATTCAGTGTTTTAATTTTAGAAGATTCCCCTTAATATCTTGCTTGCTTTTTATTTAAAGTTTCTTGCCTAAATTAGAATAAAATTACCATCCATGTAATACAGTTTGGATCTTTTAAAAACTTGAATTTTTTTCTAAATAAATTGTTCTAAAACATAACTTACAAAGAGATATCCCACATCCAAATAACTGATACATAATAAGATGCAAATAGAAACTTTGTTGTCAGATACATTTTTTGAAATAAATAATGGGGGAATGGGTGAAGAGGTGAGGGGATTAAGAAGTACAAATAGGTAGTTACAGAATAGCCAGGGGGATGCGAAGTACAGGGTAGGAAATGGAGTAGCCAATTTATACACATGACCCACAGACATGAACAATGGTATGGGGATTGCCTGAGGGAGTGGGGGGTGCTGGGTGGAGTGGACAAAGGGGGAAAAATCGGGACAATTGTAATAGGCTAATCAATAAAATATAATTTTAAAATCGAAGAACATAGTCTTACATTCTAATTAGCCAAAATTTGAGAACATTACAGTGGTAAAAGGCTGCCATCTTCAGGGGTCTTTAATTAGACATAAAAATGAATTATATTCTTTGTTGAATAATTTGCTAGTCTTGTTGATGTTAATATAATCTATTATTACAAATGCTAGTTACGGTGTACATAGGAAATAAAGGTATTCTCCTGTGCCCATATTTCAAAGTATAATATTTTGTGAATTTTGAAAATTACTAATATGGCCATTAAAGAAATAATATATGTGCTTGTTCCTGTATCTTTGAGAAGAAATAGATAAATCTGTGTGATGTTGAGTTTCTGAATTTTCAAAGATTTGCAGTTCAAATGTGGAGTCTATGAATGGTAACCTGACAGGAATGAAACCAAGTTTTTAAATCTGATTATTTTCATTTTGTCCTCAGGAAAGATGAAGAACAAAATAATTTTGTTTTACTTTTATTGATATCTACCTCATGACTTATATTTTTGTAAAAATGTGTTTTATGTCTCATGTTTTCACAAGATTACAAATTCAAATGGCATGCATTTTTAAAAAGGGAGAAACATTTGATTTGGTTGCTTGACTTGTCTCAACCAGTTTAATTGTTTACTCTGATTCATTATTGATATTGAATAATTGTATCTATGATTTGCCTCCAGATGAAAAAAAGAGACCTTGTTAGATACAGCCTAAGTATCCTCTGTTTTGAGAGAGTTTAGAATTTATTTAATAGAGTGCACCTATGAATTGGACAAAGATTTTACACATATATACTTATTAAATGAGGTATAATATGTAACAAACCTCTTATTAAAGTAAGTTTGTTATATTATCTTATTATATTATAACAATAGCACACATTTGCTACATGCATGACCTGGGAAAGTGACTCATTTTGGGGGAAACTTTCTATGCATTTAATTTTACCACAAAAATACGTACATGCAAGATAATTCTGAAGTTGAACACATGCAATGAGTCTAACATACTGCTTCACACATAGTGAATGACCAATTAGTGTAAGTCGAGTTAGAGATGAAGTTACAAAGTCTATCTGTAATCTTTATGACTATGCAGATCAAATGAAAGAAGAGGTATGAAAGTTGGAGCTGGAAGTAGTAGGATAGGGAACTTCTTAAATATGTGTGTCTATTTGTGCATAGATGTAAGGAAGGGAGTAAAATTTTCATGGTAATGGTAGGCAATGGTGAAGAATCTATTCAAGAAAATATTAGCCCTGCCTGGTGTGGCTCAGTGGCTTGAGCACTAGCCTGCAAACCAAAGGGTTGCCAGTTCGATTCCCTGTCAGGGCACAAGCCTGGGTTGTGGGCCAGGTCCCCAGTAGGGGGCATGTGAGGGGCAACCACACATGGAAGCTTCTCTCCTTCCCTTTCTCCCTCCTTTCCCCTCTCTCTAAAAATAAATAAATAAAGTATTTTTTAAAAAGAAAAGAAAATATTACCATTGTATGCTCCCCATTTAATATTTGTTCACTTCTATCTCAAATAATTTCACTTCTGTCACACTATTTTATTTTGTAAATTTAATTTTATTTAAATTATCAAAATTTCTTTGTAAACATGGCATGTTTATAATATTTGAACCTTTTTTTCTAGACGCAATATTTTTTTACCCAGTTGTAATCACACAATGCAACTTATAATGTTTTTAAAATGATTTTTATTGAATTTATGGAGAACATTCAGATGATAAATTTGAGTCTCTAGAAACACTTGGTAGGGCTTTATCTGACCCTTAGTGTATGTTTGCTATCATCAGGTTCTATAAACTTTCAATCTGATAAAATTAACAATATTTCTACCAGTAGAAATGATGTTAACAAAGTAGAGATATTTTCTTCATTGATTTGCTGACTGAATACAGATCGAGGCCTGATATTCTGGTGAGCTGTTTCTTTCTCAAGGTGTGTCTTTTTGATATATCCAATTGTTTTGTGTTTCCATCTGCAACTCCATCTAACCCTACTAAGACTTATGCTATGCAAATGTGTGTCAATTGGGGAGCCACATTTTGAATTTCAGAAGTTAAATTTTAAAAGAAATTCACCCCCAATTGAACTTAGTCCTCCAGAAAGCTGCAGGAGTGGATTCTCAGTTCAACTACACTGTCAAAAGTGCTCCCGCAAATGGGACAGACGTATTTCCAACCGTCGTCAGTTAGGGTGATCATCACCCTCAAATCATGCTCAGAAACTTTGTGATGAAGTGCGTTTTCAAATTTGGTCTGTGCAAATTTCTCCTTGTCAGCATCAGGCGATGTGGATATTTTTTTGCTTGCATTTCTCTCCCAGAGGCCATTGCAGAAGCGCACCCTCAGGGGTCTTCTAAATGTTGTGGCTCTCTCACCATTCCTGGAAGTATTGGAGTCTATGAGAAGTGCTCTAAATCTTGGCTTTGCTTGCCTGGTATTACGATGGCCTAAAATGTGAGAGAAATACCCCTCACACACCATGCGAAGGAACATCCTTCGCCTCTCATGAATATTAGTAAATGGTATTCTCCAAGAAAGTGAGAACCGGAAAGGGATTTTGTAACTTATGTTGACATAATAAATCTTTCCAGTTTTCCCCTGAATGTTTCCTGAGTTGACACTTGGTCTATTGGGTGAGGGAGTTATCCGATTAGTTTCATTCACATTGGCTAGTGGTGTATTCAGAGGGGTAACTCTCCCTAACCCTGACATAGCAAAGGCCTCTTTACCAGGGATGTGACTCTCTACTAGATGGGAATCTTGTTTTAAATCTTCTTGAGGTTCCTCTTCGTTCTTCTCTACTTTGAGCTCCTTGTTTTCTGTGGGTTGAAGAGCAGCATGCTCCGGCTCATTTGCTGTGTCTAGCTCCAGATCCACTGGGTTGCTTTCAACCTGAGCAATCATATCTGATTCAGCAAATGCAGGCTCTCCATCCACACTAAAGTCATCTGGAGCCCCATCTTCTGAATGTTTGAGAATATTATCAGCTGTATCACTTTCTTCTTTAGTAGGAGAAGACATCCTGAGTTCTATTTATGAAAAAACACAATGATCTATTAAATTGAGGAATGTTTTAATTCATAACAAGTCAGTTCTTTAGCTTTGGCAGAAAGCATGTAGATGTGCTATTCCTGAGTTTTTCATACCTTAAATATATATTATATCATATATATGATACGATATAATATAATATATGGTACATATTTATAAATATATAAATAGCAGAAGGACACTTTATAGTACCCAAGGGCAAAATCCATAAAGAAGACAGGAACATTGTAAGCATATGTGCACCCAACATACCAGCACCCAAATATATAAGGAAAATCTTGGATGACTTCAAGAAAGACATAGACAGCAGCACACTTATACTAGGGGATTTTGACACCCCACTGTCAAAAATGGATAGATCTTCCAAACAAAATACCAACAAGGATATTCTAGTACTGAATGATGTACTAGATCAAATGGGCTTTATATATATATATATATATATATATAAACTTTCATCCCCCAAAAAGCAAAATACACATGCATTTCAAATGCACATGGGATATTTTCAAAGATAGACCACATGATAAGATACAAAACAAGCCTCAACAAATTTTAAAAAATTGAAATCATATCAAGCACTATCTTGGACCACAGTGGCTTTAAACTAGAAACCAATCTCAAGAAAAAAAACTCAAAAAGAATCAAATGCATGGAGACTGAATAACATGTTATTAAACAATGAATTGTTAATGAGATCAAGGATGAAATCAAAAGGTTTCTGGAAACAAATCAAAGTGAACATACAACAGTCCCAAATCTATGGGACATGGCGAAAGCAGTCCTGAGAAGAAAGTTCATAGCAATACAGGCCTATCTACAAAAGATAGACAAATTTCAAATAAATGATCTAATCTCACATGTAAAAGAACTGAAAAATCAACAACAAGCAAAGCCCAGAGAAAGTGGAAAGACAGAAATATTTGAGATCAGAGTAGAATTAAATGACATAGAAACTGAAAGCACAATTCAAAAGATCAATAAATCCAGGAGCTGGTTCTTTGAAAAGATAAACAAAATCAACAAGCCTTTAAGCGGACTCATCAAGAAAAAAAGAAAGAGGAACCAAATGAATAAAATCAGAAATGAAAGAGGAGAAATTACAATCAATAACACAGAAATACAAAGAATTATAAAAAATTACTATGAACAGCTATATGCCAAGAAATCTGAAAACTTGGGTGAAATGGACAAATTTCTAGAAACACATAGCCTTCCAAAACTGAATCAACAAGGAGCAGAAAGCCTGAACAGACCAATAACAGCTAGTGAAATTGAAGCAGTAATCAAAAAACTCCCAGCACAAAAAAACCCTTGACTGGATGGTTTCACAAGAGAATTTTATAAATTATTTAAGGAACAGCTAACTACTATCCTTCTCAAACTATTCCAAAGACTTCAAAACTTCTTTTATGAAGAAAACATCATCCTAATCCCAAAACCAGATAGAGACACAACAAAGAAAGAAAAGTACATGCCAATATCACTGATGAACTTAGACGCTAACATCCTCAACAAAATATTGGCAAACCACGTCCAGCAATACATTAAAAAGATCATACACTCTGATCAAGTGGGATTCATCCCAGGGATGCAAGGATGTCACAATATTTGCAAATAAATAAACATAATACACCACGTAAGCAAAAGGAAACACAAAAATCACATGATCATATTAATAGATGCAAGAAAAGAATTTGATAGATAAAGGACAGCACCCATTTATGATAAAAACCCTCAGCAAAGTGGGAGTAGAGGGACATACCTCCCCATAATAAAGGCCATAATGAGAGACCTACAGCCAGCATCGTACTCAACAGACAAAAATTAAAAGCTTTCCCCCTAAAATCAGGCACAAGACAAGGGTGTCTGCTTTCACCTTTTCTACTCAACATAGCATTGGAAGTTCTAGCCACAGTGATCAGACAAAAGAAAGAAATAAAAGGCATCCAAATTGAAAAGGAGGAAGTAAAACTGTCATTGTTTGCAAATGACATGATAGTGTACAAGAAAACCCTATAGATGCCACCAAAAATCTACTAGACCTAATAAGTGAATTAGGCAAAACGGCAGAATACAAAGTCAATATTCAGAAATCAAAGTCATTTTCATATACCAACAATGAAATATCAGAAACAGAAATTAGGAAATAAATTCCATTTGCTATAGCATTAACAAAAATAAAGTGCCTAGGAATAAACCTAACCAAGGAGGTAAATGACCTGTACTCAGAAAACTACACAGCACTGAAGAAAGAAATTAAGAAAGACACATAAATGGGAGCATATATTGTGGTCATGGATTAGAAGAATTAACATCATTAAAATGTCCATACTATACAAATCAATTTATAGATTCAACACAATCACTATTAAAATACCAATGACATACTTCACAGATATAGAACAAACATTTCAAAAATTTATATGGAACCATGAATGACCCCATTACCATGCTTCATTTGATGTAAAGTGAATTCCATGATCAAAAGCAATTATGTATGAAGTATTATGATGGTGTATAAGGCATCCTATAAGTCAATGAGCAGTAGTTTCTGCAGAAATATTGCATTTCTCTAGCAAAAAAAAAAAAGAAATTTTGCTTTCTCCATCAGAAGAAAACTGCCTCTGGTTTTTTTCTCCCAGGTACATCTTTCCTCCCCTCTAAACCATATGTCTTGTTCAAAACAGGGGATGGGGTTGAATGTGGGAGCAGGGTGGGCAGGGCAGGGGACCACAATGGGGAAAATGGGGACAACTATAGTTGAAAAACAATAAAAAATTTAATAAATATATAAATATATGTATATATGTACATATAAATATACTATATACTTTAATATGAATACATTTAATTAAGTACATAACAATTTCCATACCTTAAATAAATATGTATTTAATATCTATTTCTCTAGTTATTAAACATATGCATTTCTAGCCCTTTTAATATCAGAGTCACAGACAGACAAAATAAAAGAAGAAAAAATCAAAACCGAGGGCAAAGATAATTCCATTCTTTCTGAGCAACATCTATGCAAAGAACAATTGTGAATTCGGGGGGGCGGGAGGGGAAGGCAGAGCAGGTAAGAGAGTAGGAAGCTCACGAGTGCAGGCCCAACTCTGAGTCATTTTAAGGAAGTGTCTTTTAAATTCACTATTTTATTTTTCATTTGTTTTTGAACTGCATTTTTCCATTACCATTCAACCCCTTTGTCCCCACAATCACCACACTGTTGTCCACGTCCATGGACTTCGGTTGTGTTAGGCTAAGTGCAATAAGCCATCAAAGAAGGACAAGTCCCACATGCGTCCCTCATCTGTGGTATCACACGGACACACTAAACTAGCAAGCCTATGCAGACAGACTCATAGAGACCATTTTCCTGTCATTCTCATTGCTTCAGCACTAGTAAAGCTGGTTACCACATCCTGCTGCTTTTACTGCTGATGGTATCTGATTTTACAGATTCTAAAGCCTCAGTTTATCTTTCCCTTTGACCTATTTCTTACTCATGTCACCTTTCTGCCCAAACACCTTCAGTAGATACTACTACTCTGAGTTACATCTTTCTATTCCTCTTTACGAGGGGACTTAGGACAGACTGCGTTGGAAGATTTCTTTAGAGTAGGAAGATGGGAACAGTGTCTCACTGAAGTCAGTTGTGGGGAAAGGAAATGCCAGTGGGCACGAAACAAATCTGAGGAATGTGGAAAATTAAAAAAACACGGCTCCCACTGGGGATGGCTAGCTCTATGAGCAGACCTGGACATAATGTGTGGATAGGTCAGCTGGATTCAAATAAGTGGTAATGGCCTTGGTCTCTTACTGCCATCTTCAGACACCCTCCGCTCTCTGATCCCCCCTTCTGTGTTTAACTTTCTTTCCTCTGCTCACTCAACATGCTTTTTCCATCCTAATAGTCCTGGTCTTTTTGTTACTTCATACTTACATTTCACTTATCATTTAAGCTTGAAGCATTTTTTTTTGCCAAAATTTCCTATAAATTCAAGTGTGCCTATTTTTATCTCAAACTCGTTCTTTCTTTAACTTTCTCTTTTTCTATTTTTCTTTCTTTCTCCTTCCTCCCTCCCTTCCTCCCTCCCTTCCTCCCTCCCTTCCTCCCTCCCTTCCTTCCTTCCTTCCTTCCTTCCTTCCTTCCTTCCCTCTCTCCCTCCCTCTCTCCTTCCTTCCTTTTCTCCTTCTCCTTCTTCCTCCTCCTCCTCTTCTTCTCTTTCTCTCTCTCTATCTCCTCCCCTCCCCTTATTTATTTTATAAAAGGCAGTGATTACAATCAGACTTTATTCTGTGTGTTCCACTTCCTAGTGCTGTCCTACTAAAGTCCTGGACCTGTAGTCTGTGTCTTCCTCAACTGTTAAGCACATTATTTCTCAGCTTTTGTTCTCACATGATAGTTTGTTACCCTTCTCCTTCTTTTATCCTTATCTAATTTGCCTTTTTACTTTCTTTTTACTCTTTGTAATATTTCAATGGGGGCATTCTTCAAGACTTATTTCCTGATACTCTAGTCTACTTTTTTAAAACTCTTTTTTCCTCAATGTCTTCATAAACTCCCCAAATTTCAAGGGGTGGGTCCTTGCTGAGCTTAACTGAGCTTGATCTGTTTGAGGTGATCAAGTATAGAAACTGTGTTACCGAGGCATTTCAGCATCAGCAGAATTATAATAAACATAAGACAATAAACAAAGTATACATTTTATATGTCCATAAAAATCCAATTGAACTCACTGAGCTCAGTTGTTCCTAATAATGCTGAGATCCAATAATTTGGTGGGGACTTGAGTGCCTGGTAGTCATCTGAGTCTTCTCAGATGCCCCTGAAATCAAACACAGTGATTTTTGTAAAACACGTGAAGGTTCATCAGCTCCTATACCTTCTATCTCCAAGTAAAGTATACACTGCTTTGCCTTTTCCCAGGCCCTTCCACTTACACATCACAAACCAACTCTAA